AGGAAATGTCCAACTTCATGGCCACCATCTTATCCGTCAGATCTAAGAAATTACTTCGCAGTTTTTAAAGCTAATGACAATGAATGACTAAGCAATTAGCCGGCCCTCTTTATATCATACCTTAATCAACCTTAATTAGTTCTAATTTAGTTGTTGTGATTGATGGATTAAGCTAAGAACTTTCAAATGGAAGGCGACGTTTATATGGACCGGATGATGGTTAGATGATATTGAATCAAATTTTTCTAGGAAATTTTCTAAATTAAGATTTCAATCAAGGTTTAATAGTTAATACTAATTAAATTAAACTATATTTAAACATCAATAGTTAATTAGGTTTATTTAAAATCCTAATAAAATTAATTAGTTGATTAGATTAAACTATTTGGCTGATCAATTAGTGTGGGCCTTACAAGTTAAATTGAGTCAATTTTATAACTTAGGGTCTCAAGCTCCAATTGGGCTAATCCATGATTTGATTTAGTTAATTTGAAACCTAAATAATCTATTGGAGTTAACTTTAAGGTTTAAACCAATTTGATTACTTTGAAAGTTTAGTCTCAATTTATTCATCTTGAGTCTTATTGGTTAATCGAGTCAATTAACACAATCAAAGTCCAATTAATATTAATTAGAATATAATTACAACATTTAAATTATTTAAATGAATTAGTTGGAACTAATTTGGTAAAATAGTTAAAATGACCTTAAGGTTTATTTGGTTTATCTTGGGTTTGATGGGTATGTGCCTAAACAATGGCTAATACTGTTGTTTACACATTAGATGTGGGTTCAATCAATCTTTTCATTTTGATGGTTTAATGATCAAATTGACTCAAGTTATGTATATTCTACAAGGATTTAACAAATTAATGTCTTTGGGCCAATGTCATTAATTTTAATGTTCAGATTTTATTTGGTTAATTATATTAATAGCGGGCTAGCCAATGGTTAAACTTAATTTTGGATATTTTGGTGGCTAATCTTAATCAATCTATGTATGATTTACTAATAGAAACCTATCGGAAAAGATTTGGCAAACCAATTAGAATAAATAGTTTAAAATGACTAATTGAGTCGAAGCATCCAACGGTTCGAGACTAAGTTAACTTTTCTTCGGCCCTAATCAAAATGAGGTGATCACATGGAAAACTAGAGTTAATTCATTTATGATTAAATTATTGCATTCGATAAATGATCATTTTAAATACTAATTAACCCAACCATATGTTTATTTAAATCTAACGGGGTCGAATTAAACTAAGCCCAAACATAGGGTTTAATTAAATCAGCCTTTAGTATGTCACCAAAACTAAATTAAAATTGGATTCTAGAGGTTAAGAAAGTAGTCAATTTTGGTTAAATTAGATGCCTCTGGCTAAGCTATGGCTTCGAAATAGTTTTCTGGGTCATTGCTAAACATAATCTTTAACTGATTTGAATATATTGAAATCTTTAGAATGATTCATGTCTACGGTTTGACCAATCATGGCCTCAGTCAATTCAAGCATTCAGAAAAGCTAATCAAGTTCATATCTAACTAGATGATTTAGACGAGAAGTTAAGGAAAATTATGAGGTTAATAGCTCCAAGTAAGATGTGGAGGTTCATTTTTCTGTAGTACTAAACCCAGAGCACATAGTATATGTTAAAGAAATTATAAATTATTCATAGCAGTATTATTTTAATTTAAATTTTAAGCTTTATAAATTGGGGTGTAAACGAGTGGAACACGAGAGCGAGCCATAATCAGCTCGCGTTCGGCTCGATTATAGCTCAAAAAGTGTGTTTGTGTTCGGCTCGTTTGCTTAACGAGTCAAACACGAGCTGTTCACAAACAAAGAGTCTTTTTACCAACCCTAATAATGTAGCCATAAAACAATAAGGGTTAGAGCAAGCTTTAAAAATTATTATTTATATTAAAGCATCATTTTAATCTAATTCAATAATTTTATTCTATTTTCTTAATCAATATTTTAATTGGTTATAAATCTTTGTAGCCTTGTAGTCAATTATATTTTCTTAAAATACTACTTTATATATATATATATATATATATAAACTTGATGAGTAGTATTTCGAGCCAAAACGAGCCGAACACGAACGACACATCTTAGTTCGTGTTCGGCTCGTTAAATTATCAAACAAAATTAACGAGTGGAACACGAGCTTCTTAAAGAGTCGAACACGAGCTGTTCGCGAACAACGAGCCGTTTTGACAGCCCTATTTATAAATATATCATTTATGACCACAGCAATCATCTCTAATATTTATTGGCTCTTAAACTAACTTTGAATATGTTTATTAAAAAAACTAAACATCCCTCAATGATAAAAGGAAGATATAATGTACATGTTTTCATCTTTACTCCTAATATTGTCTCATATATCCAATAATATATGTAAGAAAAATCCTTTTAATCATTATATAAGAGGCCAAAAAAAAAGGTAATCTTTCAAAAAGGGCATCCTTTTTGCTTATATTGTTCTTCATGTAGCTTGCAAATAGGTGTTCCACATGATTTACATTCACTCTCAATCACATCATCCTTGCAATATGTTATACATTCATATTAGTATAGTAATCCATCGTCTTGTGTAGTCCTACCTATTTTCTATATTAATTTTTTTATCACTTACTAATTAATTAATATGCATAAGATTATAAATCAAAATGATTAATAAATATGTAGACAATTTAAAATTAATTTTAATTTCAAGTCTTTTTGCAACCATATATAATCATTGTTGAGCAGCGTAAATGCAAAGATTATTAATTATTAAATTATTAAATCTCACTATTAGGATGCTCTTAAATAATTTCAACCTGTCCTTGATCAATAATATATATATATATATGTATGTATCGTTTTATTTGTTTATTGCTCTTATTTGATTGTCCATAATTAGGCTAGGCAGCATAGTGAGTGTCTATAGATACCCAAAATCAATAATCCATCTAAAGTTACTTTTGACTTAAATCAGTCGACACTAAAAAGTTAAGGAGTTGTGAAGTTGTCAGCTGCTATGATGGATATCCTAACACCCGTTTTAATTTAATTTAATATATATAATTTGGAAAAAAAATAATATTTTAAAATTTTGAAAATACAAGACCGAACCGATCTCATATCCCCAGTAGTTTTAATAAACGAGTCTAATACCGCAAGTAATGTATTCATCCCGAAGGATAAACACGCAACTTACTGGTAAGACTCGATTAAATAAACTAAAGATTGTATGACATCCGTTAAGTCTGCGAAACCATTTTTATTATAATCGGACAAGTTCTTCTATTTAGTATGAAGGATTAAATAGCGTTTATATTAAGCTGGGTTCAGAAAAGCTTTCTATAAGTAACAAACCCTTATAGTTAATTACATCCTAGATAATTGATGTCATCTAAGAAAACTCTCGATAAAAATTAAGCGATATTATCTTCAAAGAGGTCAAATGGTTTAGGGTATGTGAGAGAATGTAGTGTGTGTAAGCTAGGATGGTTTAGGTCTGACCATCCTATGGGGGACTCCTCTTGAGCTCCTCCATATTGACTCTACCTACTAAGTGCTAGAGATCATGACTAATATGTGGAACTTCAGGTTGAGCAAAGAAGGGTTTAGAACTTCTAATGGTGAGGATTCCTTTTCTAGTTTTCTAGTAATAGTCAACAGGAAAGCCCTATGGCTAGATCTTAGGTTACTAAAGAGGAAAAAAACTAGACCTAAACCAAAAATGAGGTGAACAATATTCTTAGCTTTTATATTTTGAACAAGTACATCTAACATTCTCCTCTAAAAAGCAAAATAAGTTGTTGAGATGTTATAAAAATTAAAAACCAAACACCACCATCATCAACTTTTGATAGCTCACTTACTCACAACTTAGTGATTCAGGGTGTAATATCTCACCATAAGATCACGTATTAGAATCACACTATTGCCCTTTGGGCTAACTTTTCTGAAGCAAAAAAAAAAAAAAAAGACTTTTAATATGCGTAGATTATAATTAAGACATAAATTGGAACAATTAAGCACTAGAATTCATCCTCTATAGTCTATCTAGGTGAATAAAAATAATAATTTTTGTTGTCTTCTAGTTAAATTAGGGCGATCAATCTATCATGCATAATATATAAGACCTAATATACATTAGCACTTAAAATCTATTCAAAATCATTATATAACTAGTCATCTTTAGATTTGTAATTTGGGCCAATCTATTTCTAATCCAGTCTAACTTGTTAAATTATAGAAAATCAAAACCAATTAAATTTATCATCTTGTAAAATAACACTTCTTCCAACATATATAAATGCATCATGAAGCACCATGATGGATTTACCTTCTAAGTAACAATAACAAAGTTTACCTATGGAAATAATCATTAATATGAGCTCCTAAGCTGTTGAATTTTGGGCTTTTTGGAGGGGCAAAACCTTAATTCTATATCTTAATTTTATGGATATGATCATATTAATTTATGCATTTTTCACATTTTTTTAAAATTAAATTGCTCATGGTTGAAAGATCTCACAACTCAAATGTTTCCTTTGTAGCATCACTTACCATGCATGAAAGTGAACTTCATGATTCAAATCAAGTAAAAACATTTGGCTTAATAATTAAAATAAAATAAAATAAAGCAGGATAGCTTCACCATAATTAAAAACAAAAAGGGCACTAAATAATATTCATCCACATCTCACAAATTTAAAAATGGACATTTACATACATACCATCTAATTCCTATGTATTTACATATCTAACCCCTAAAGTTTGACTTTTACATTTTTATCATCCAAAATCTTTTATACTAAATAAAAAAAAAAATCAATATTTTAACTTTTAACTAGTGATATAGGCATTTTTATGCATAAGGTGACATGTAAAAATTGAAGTTTAGGTGTTAGATATGTAAATGCATAAGAATTGAATGGTATGTATGTAAATATTCCATTTAAAAATTCACGAAATGCATACAAAATCCAACTATTTGCACCAAATAAATTAAGGGGGAAAAAAAAACTTATGAAAAGAAAAGTGAGCAAATTCATGATGAGACTTGCCGTTGTACAAAATAGACATATCAGCAATGAATTGCAAACTAATCTTTGATCCTCCAACGGCTAACTTCAAATTTTCTCTTCGAAGCTAATTCATAACTACAATTTCATATGCATCTATTCTCGCAAAATATTCAACTGTATTGCCAGCAAAGTTGAACCAGTATTTCTTGAGCTGAATCAGCCCACGATCTCCTCTTAAACAATCAGTAATCAATCAATCTTCTTCTTTGACATCCCCGCGGCCAACATAAAAGCTTTCTGTCTTCAATTTCTTAGAACTGCATCCCTCCTGCTCCAAAGTTTTCAGTTTATTCTTGATTGCTGCAATTTTGGCACTTCTGCTCGTCTGACATGTTCCACTTCCTGAAGCAAAACATGACTTCTTAAGATTGAATGCGGTTTTCGGCAGATCCTTCGTATCCGAATGGTATTTCTCATCTGCATAACGAACAACCAAAGGGCGTCCGTAAGCCAACTTCCCATTCATCTCCGTCTTTGCAAGTTGAGCTTCCTGCATACTTACTTCAAAAACAAACATAAGATTGTTGAAGCTGTTAAATGAGAGATAAAGCGATGAAATAAATTACCTCTTTGGAACCGTATTGGATAAAAGCGTAACCACGCGGTTCGCCCTTCTTAGGACCTCGAGTGTGCCATAAGAAGTCTTCAGATATTATCTTACCAAAAGGAGAAAACATCTTGATCACATTGGCTCTGGATGTTTTGAAGTTCGAGAGTGTAATAATGGTGGTGAAAAGAATACTTAAAAAGTCTAAAAATAGAAGAGTATAATAGAAACTTTAGTTTATCTCTATTACTCTGTGATTCTTTGGTCCAGATTGCCGACATATAGCTTGCTTTCACACGTGTCATCAACCATATCTCGAGCACCTTGCGTTACAACTTCTGTCAATATCAGCATACTTAAAATACAAAATAAATGAAGATTAACTTAAAAAAGACACTCGAAAAGCACTGTCCTCATAAATTAATGGCACCAAACAGTTAAAAAAAGAAAGAAAACTTAAATGAATGTGAAAATGAAAAATATCAATAAATAATAATGCCAGGAGATCAAACAAGAATGGCATACAAATGTAGGGATAACATTAGAGCTAGAGGAAGATGGGTAACGAAAATTCCCCAAGGGCACTACAAGACAAAATGAATATTAAGTACAAGTTACTTTTGTAATATTGAATTATATTGATAAAGCTTTATAAATTTAACTGTTGGGCGATAAATAATTGAAAGAAGATGATGTCAATAAAGTTAAGATGGACAAAGTAAAGATACTATATTATAGATAATGGGCATAACATAAGTTGTAGATAAAATGATGAAAAATGAATATAGATATCAAGGGCATGTATCATAGAAGGTAGAAAATGAACACTATTAAAGCATATAGATAGAATAACTTCAAAAAGGAATATGACAAAATGGTAAAACTGAGTAGCCTAGTCGTAAAGTTTGTGTAAGAAAACTAGTGTCAACTAAAGAATAAACTACTTTGAAGTGCTGAATAATGAGCCATAAAATTGAGACACCAAGTAGTTATGATATGATGAGGCTAACGATGATGAGGATATATATCCCAGTAGTCTCAAATGCTTAAGTATAGATCAAATAGAATTGCAAATTACTAATCTCTCCCTTTATTACAAGCACAATTTTTGCTCTTTTAAAAAACATAGTATCCCAAAAGCTAATTTAATAAATAAATCAACCAACATCCTCTTAATAGGAATAAAAATATACATCAAGGTGACATATTTCTATGTAATGTAGAGATATCTCAAATCCATGTTCTGGGTCCTACAATAGAACTAAGATTCACTCACACTCACAATTTGGTATAATATTGTTGCTAGATAATAACGCTACCTCATTCCTTATGAATGAGAGATTTAAGGCATATTAGAAATCATTCCAGCTAGATAGCCTTCAATGAAGTTGAAGCATAGGTTAGATACTAGACATTCATGGTACATGGTGAAACACATGATTGTCTCTTGCTTTCAAGAGAAAGACCTGAAAAGTAAAAAGTAGTGTCTATCTTCGTCTCCCACATAATCAACATCAATGCACGATATTAATCATATTTTTCTCTATGATAGAGCAAAGCTGTATCTGACGTACCCATAAGATATCAAAAAATAATTTCATGGCTTGCCAATGAATTCTTCTAGAATGTTTTTCATAGCAAATGATTATCACCAAAAAAATAGAATAATATCAAGTAGTAGACACAGTATTATATATCGAACAACTAATAGCATTTCAATAAGGAATCACTGTATTTTCATAGCAAGTGATTAAACTTTGAATGCACCATCTTTGTAATGGAATGTTCAAGGTTTAGAGTTCTTTGTTCTTAATCACAAGCAAACAACCAATCCTAGGTGTGATAATCATCCTTATATTATTTTCAATCATTAATATATTAGCATGTTAACATTGTCATTGTCGGTCCCAAGCCCGGATGTGAAAAGTGAAGAGTTGTGTTATGTAGTCGACAACCAACGTAAAATTTATCGAAAAAATCATGACATGAGGTGTATGGTCTGAATACAATGAAAAGTATGCAAGGGCAGCTAAACCGGAACTCGTGTGTAGTGTCAAATAAGCAAGGGTTCCCACATTACGGATGAATGCAGGTAAAGAAGTTAGTACATGAAACTAAAATTAGGATAAAATCTTGGAATATAAGAACCCTCAATGGTAAATTAATGGAATTAATTGATAATATGATTCATAGAAAGATTAATATCTTATGTATTCAAGAAGCTAAATGGGTTAGAGAAAAGGATAAAAAGATTGATAACTTAGATTTTAAACTTTGATATTTTTGTAAGAGTTGCACTAGAAATGGTATAGGTGTAATTGTAGAAAATAGTTTGAAAGATAATGTTGTAAAAATTAATAGAGTTGGAGAAATTATAGCTCTTAAAATTGTTATTGATACTAAGATTTTTAATATTATAGGTGTGTATACTCCTCAAGTAAGTTGATATATAACCTAAAGATAAATTCTGGAATAACTTAGAAGACATAATACAAATGATATTTCTTGAGGAAAAAATATTTATTAGAGAAGATTTAAATGGACATGTCTGTAGAGTGATAGAAGATTTCAGAAATATTCATGGTGACTATAGTTTTGGAGTGACTAATGAAGAAAGTAATTATTTTAGATTTTGCTTTATCGTATGATTTTCTTATTACTAATACTTTATTCAAGAAAAAAGATGAGTATTTTATTACTTATAAGAATGAAACTCATAAAACACAAATTAATTATTTTCTTATGAGAAGAAATCGACGTGATTGTAAAGATTGTAAGGTCATTCCAAATAAGGAGTTAAGCATCAAACATCGATTATTAATTCTAAATTTTAAGATGAAGAGTTGTAAAATAAAGACTATTAGTAGTCATCATCATAGAATTAGATGGGGGAATCTAAAAGACACAAATAAAATTATTTTTATGAGTAAAATTCAAGCTTTTAAAATTTGAGATATTTATGAAGAAACAAATGCTATCTAAGAAAAAGTAACAAACACTATTAAACAAGTAGCAAAAGATGTACTTGGAGAATCAAAAGAAAAAGTTTCAATAAATAAAAATAGTTGGTGGTAGAATAATAATGTGTAAGAAAAGAAAAAATACAATAAGTTATGCTATAAAAATTGATTTAAATGTAAAAGCTTAGAGAATTGGAAAAAATATCAGAAGACTCGTAGGGAGTCTAAAAGAACAATCTGTGATAATAAAAATTCTGCTTTTAGTGATTTGTATAATTAATTAGAAACCAAGAAGAGTGAAAAATATATGTATAAACTAGTCAAACAAAGAGAAAAGAAAAGTAAAGATTTAACTCAAGTAAAATATATTAAAGATGAAAATCAAAAAGTGTTCTCCTTAGAAAAAAATATTCAACATAGGAGGGTGAGTTATTTTACAAAAAAATTTAATGAAGTTTTTGAAAATATAATCGACCTCAGTGATCTTAAAATCATCACATTTTCATTTTTACCGTCGCATTTGTAAAAAAGAAGTTGATGAGGCTTTAAAGAAAATCAAGGGTAGAAAGTCTATAGAACCTAATGATATCCCAATTGAAGTGTGAAAATATTTAGGAGATTTGAGAGTTTCTTGGCTTATTAAACTCTTTAATATTATTTTAAAAACCAAAAAATAAGTCTGAGGAGTGGAGGAAGATTATTTTGGTCCTCATTTTTAAGAATAAAGGGGATGCACAAGAGTGTGCAAATTATAGAGAAATTAATTTGACGTGTCATACTTTAAAATTATGGGAGAGGGTAATTGAACATAGGATAAGACGTATTACAAAGATTTCTCATAATCAATTGGGATTTATGTTGGGCAGATCTACTATGGAAGCTATACATTTATTGAGAGGTTTGATGGAGAAGTTCAGAGATAATAAGGAAGATCTACATTTGATTTTTATTGGTTTAGAAAAAGCTTCCGATAAGGTTCCATGAGATATCCTTTGGAGAGTTCTTGAGAAGAAATGTGTTGATATGACTTATATTCAACTCATTAAAGATATGTATACTAGAGTTGTTACTTGTGTTCGAACTGAAAGAGAATTGACCAAATATTTTCCTATTTCAGTTGGATTACATCAGGAATCGACTTTAAGCCCATATATTTTTGCTTTAGCTATGGATGGTCTTACTGGACATTTACAGGAGGATGTGCCTTGGTGTATGCTTTTTGTTGATGATAAGACGAGAGAAAAAGCCCAAGAAAAACTTGAATTATGGCAGTCTACATTGGAGTCTAAAGGCCTTCATTTGAGTGAAACTAAAATTGAATACATGGAATGTAATTTTAGTAGTAGTAGCTCTAGTTATAGAAGTGTAACTTTGGGCGATCAAATTATTAAAAGGTTTGAACGATTTAGATATATCGGGTTTGTTGTTTGAAGCAATAGTGATATAGATGGGGGCGTTAAAAGTAGAATTCAAGTTGGTTGGTTGAAGTGGAGGAATGCTTCGGGTCTTTTGTGTGATAGAAAAGTACCGCTTAGACGGAAAGAAAAATTTTATAAGATATTGCTGAGAGCTACAGTGCTCTATGGCGCTGAATGTTGGCCTTTAAATGAGAAGCGTAATACTAAGTAAAGTGTTGCCGAGATGAGAATGATTAGGTGGATGAGTGGCTTTACACTTAGAGACAAAATGCGAAATGAATATATCCGTGATAGGATTGGTGTAGCTCTAGTGACGAACAAAATTAAAGAGAGTCATTTTAGATGGTTTGGTCACATTAAACTTCGACCATCTAATGACCCGATTAAGAGAGTAGATGTTTTAGATTCGACTTTTATTAAGAAAGACAAAGTTAGACCTAGGAAGACTTGGGCTTTTTGTATACAAAATGATCTTAATTTATTAGAACTAAATGAAAATATGATACTAAATAGGACGCAATGGAGAAAAAGGATTCATGTGGCCGACCCCACGTAGTGGGATTAAGGCTTTGTTGTTGTTGTTGTTGTTGTTGTTGTATTAATATATTAGCATGTAAGGGCAAGATCATAAAGCTTTTATTAGACCATTTGACATATATATAATGACCAATTTCACCACATTTCAACGCCTATAGAGATAATAGCCTAACGAAAGGTGCAAGTCTAATTCCATAAAATTTTTTCACCCATTAATAAAAGATCTAAATTTGTGAACTTTGTACAAATTTTCATTGGTTATAAAACCAATGGGTTGATCCATATAAATTTCTACATTCAGCCATTAAAATAATATTGTTTTAACATCTATATGAAAAAACTCTAAATCTAAATAATGCAACTAAGGCTAAAATAAGGTGAATTGAATCAATTATCAACATAGAGAAAAAATTATTTAATAGT